TAATTTAATTCCTGGTTCTCTTCTTCTAAATTTCGATTAAAATTTGTAACTAACGCTGATAATTAATTATCATGTTATCTACGATTTTCGAATACTGAGCTACCCAATCTTTCGTCAGGCTGACATGATTGTTAAATTCCTTTAGTAATTTATTATTATCGTTATTTTGAAGTTATTTTATTGAGTTATTAAATTATATCGCATCTGAATGATCAAGTTTACCGGTTATACTTTTTACTACGGAACCGAGACCGTCAACGAGACCTCTTGTAGCACGACTAAGCTCAAATGACTGCGATTGGTCGAGAACGGTTTGAAGCTTTTCTTTTAAATATTCTATATGAGGCTGAAATAAAGTGTTATATTATTAAGATGAGGAATTTTACTAATGAACTGAATATGAACTGTCTTTACTTTTTCTTGTAAATCTTGGATATTGATGTATTTTAAGAAAGAGTGATAGAAGTCTAGATTTGGCGATTGGCCTTCGATTCTTTCGAGTATATATGTATCGGGAGATCAACTTTAACTGAATCTTGCGTATAACGTAGTGCTATCTTTTAATGAGAAGCCAATGAATTTTTAACGAATATTTGTTGCTCGGGTGAGTACTGCTTTTTAGTCTCTCTAGATCCATTATGAGCTTCTGTCAAATCTTTCCTATTCATTAATTTATGTTCATGAATTAAATTATAATTATAAGCCTTGTTCATTTAATCTCTATGTTTTATGGTATACTGTTGGAATAAATGAGCTGTCAGGTCTAGTGGATCTTGCAGGTAAAACTGTGTATTGAACTATTGTAAGCTATAAAGGCATAATTAATTAAATTAATAACGGATTTATTCTTTAATTCCATATTAAATATTGGTAGATATTCTAAAAGTGTTGAGTGAAATCTCTCAATTATTCCATTTTCATATGGAGTATGAGGTGCTATTTTATTATGTTGAATTTTATATAGTCTTACAAATTCAGCAAATACTTGTTCTGAGAATTCAGGACCATTGTCTGTTACTAAAATATAAGATATACCGTGGTGAGTACAGAATTTGAGTAATTCTTGAACTATACTTATTGCCGTTCCCTCTTTTAGATAATACAACTGTCGACTGCGCGTATTTCAAAAATGTATCGACGATTATTAAAACTTTTCGCTCTGTATGGTTAATAAGTCCAAATGAACAGATATGAAAGGCTTACATGGTGGAGGGATAATACAGAATTGTGGTAATGTCCGTTTTAGTATATCGCAATTTATCCAACATGTCTGATATATTGAGATGGGGTAGTTATCGTCAATAGTCTTTTCGTTAACTCTTCGAAAATCTACGACTAAGCACCATTTAGTTTTACCGGAAGCATCACCTTTTTAGGAATTACCCAAATAGAAGAGCTGTACGTGGATTCGGAAGTCTGAATTATATTTTGTTCAAACATTTTTTTTTTGATCTCTTATCTCTTGTTTGTGAATATATGGATACTTATAACTTTTGGCATGAACGGGGACTTCTTAAGTCGTTTTAATTTTATGTTTGATTTTATTCGTGAATGTCAAGGGTTCCCTCCCTCATGATAAAATACATCTCAATAACGTGCACATTTTTTTTTATTTAGCTAGCGGTTCTGGTTTCAAATGGTCGGTGCGAGGACGCGATTAAACTTCTTTCGTTCGATTAGAAAGTGATGTTAAATACTAATTTTTATATTAAATATTTCGTCTGTAACGGGACGATTCATTGAGAAAACATCATTATTTGAATATTTTGAAATTTTTATCCAGCCTCGATTGTTCTGTACGTCACTGAAACAATCAGAATTAAACAATTACTAATAATCTGATTAGGAACAAATACATCCCTATCCTTTTAATTGATTGGCAATTTTACTAATTTTGATGTCCGGGCTGGTATTATTTCTTCGTAAAGATTTGCGTTTCGAACATCATACATAACAATTGGCATTTCCGTCTTTTAGTAATTAACTCTTTAATTTAAAAAACAATCTTAGAATACTATTAATCTAACAAATCAAATCCAATAATACCATCGAAATAATTATGAAAATTATGAATGAAAACGCGATGTCGCCGTTTTCTTTAAATTCTGTATGATTAAGAAGTATGTGAGTGAAGTATTTTTCGACTGCCTGGGGTGATATAAAAGATTGATTAGCTCCCGCGTCTATGAGTAGTTTTAAAGGCTGGTCATTTATATGTGTATATCCTAATTGCCGCTGAATATTAAAATTCATTTCTATTTTCGTTTGTCTGATATTTCGGCCTTGGGAATTTTTTTAACTTTTATTTCATTAACATATGATTTAGGGTACTTTACTATCGGATACTCACACTGTTCTACGTTCGACAAGTAATCTGTATGCTCTTGGTATAGTCACAGTATTGGTAGTGGTAATAAGATTCGTAGTCAAATTCATAGTTATTAATTTCACGAGTTTTAAAATAGTTATTCGGTGGCAGGTTACCGTCTCTACGCCAATTATGTCCGGTCAAAGGTAAGAGTTTGGATACGAAGTGACTGTCGCCACTCATAGGACGCGTCATGTTATTAAAAAGTTAAGTGGGCTGTAAAGGTGGCTTATTGGGAGCTCTAAAGACGTTACTGTGCGTGTTATAATTTGGAGGTGGAGCACGGAACATTTGTTGAGTGTATGTAAGACTACGGGGTAGGTGCATTGGAGACATATTACTTTTGATTTACAAAATAATGAAATATAGTATATTTTTCCGATATAATAATATGTAATAGATTATTTACCAAAAAATATAGTACTAATAAATTGCAATAGGGTACTACAAAACTTTGAGAAAACAATCTCAAATTTGTGATCAATTTCAAATTTGTGATCAATTTTTAAATATATAATTACCAATCAGAGAAAGCACCTATAAATATTAGTGCAGCTTGCTTACATTCATTATAAATATCACTTATATAAACATAGTTATTTTTAAGTAATTTAAAATTTTAAACCTAAAGTTTGAATGAAACTGATATTTTCAGGTATACTACGCGACTTTATTTTTGATAAAAACTACATACTGCCGACGCGCGATGACCGAGATGTGAGTGTCTGTATGTTGATCTTATTATTTATCACCTACCACCATCGATTTCTTAATTTTCTGGCATACGATTTGCCAACGGTAGCTAACTGTATAGGGTGGTGGTGTGAATAACCATTGTTATACCTATCCGTATGTGTGGGTTTCCTATAAACAGTATGTCCCAAAGTATTATCAGGATTCCTGATTACAATATATAAAGAAAAGCGAATGAATTATTTGCCTCTAATTCTATAGTAAACTGAATCTTGCTATTGATAGAATTAAAATGGTTCAGAAAAGCAGATGTTTTTTTTATTTTTATATTTTGAAGGTGTCATCTACATACCGTTTATATATTAAAGGTCTTACTCGAGGAGAGCAAAGGGCTCGCACCTCGAAGTCTTCCATGAATATATCAGGGGAAACCGGTGAACCCATTGTAACTCCATCTACTTGTATGTAGAATTCATCCTTCCACATGAGATATTCAGATGATAGGAAATACTTTAACAGCTCTGCATATTAGTTTCATTTAAATGAATAAGACTCGCGAAAATCTTAGATCTTATTATTTAAACCAAACGACTGTAAAACGAACAACATTATTAAAAATACACCGAAATGATAAAGACAGACTCACTTAATTGTTTGAAAATATAAACAAAACAATTGCTGGTATTTTAAAAATTAAATATATTTTTAAGAATAAGAAAGAACAATAAAAATAACGCATGAAAGCTGATTAGTCCAATAAACGGATTAACTAGTTACTAGTGAATGGAATTTTCTTCGTAGTCTTATCTATATTTGGAAGAATTAAAAACAATAGAGGGCAATAAGAATTAAGGATGTACCTGGTAATGAAACAAAAGAGAAATGTAATGAAACCCCCAAAGCTACCCGATGGCGAGCTGATTTCGTCAACCCTGTTACAAATATTGGTCAGTGTACACTCAGTAATTGAGGAAGTAACCACACTTGTTGGTATTGTGATCTTTTAACTGTGATAATAATTTAAATATCGGTAAGTTTAAATTGTTAATAATTTTCAATATTTAAATTTTAAGGGAATATGTTATCCATGTAAACATATCTAAGCTTGAATTCTAACTTGTTTGTTATTGTTTTATCAGGTTGAAGATAAAAGTGATTGTAAATAAGAGAAATACCTATAATTTTTTTATGTTCGATGCTTGTAGGAAAAAAGGATTTAACTAGGTTAAAGGAACTTGTATTTTCTAATGAAATGTCATTTATATTCATACAAATCAGACATCGCGCTGATTTAATAGTATTAAAAACAAACATTCTATTAGTTTAAATTTTAATAATCATATTTACCATTTCCACGTGTGCTCATTTGAATGAAAACGAATTTTATTACTACTGTTTAGTTATTATCCTATAAAACATACCTACAAGATACCAAAACTTCAACTATAGTCTTGAATTGAAGTAGTGTGAATTTTAATTCAAAGTTCATATTTAGGAATACATAAGGTTTTAAATAACAAGTGTATAAAATAATTGCTATAACTAACGTATTAAATATAAAATATTCAAGCGTCCTTCAATATCGATTAAAAGTATGTTGTCTAAGTACTAGGCTAACACTTAAAACCTACATACAGTAAGTAGGTAGAAGTGTTTGAAATAAAAGATGTTATTTAGACATTATCTGATCCATTAGGATGTAATAAGTAAACAATAGCTCTATGGATGGTAGACTAGAGTCAGCAACAATAAAACATAAAGAATATTACCGTTAACGTTGTGTACGTCGAGACAAACGAACTATTTACTTTGGTACCTGCGACATGCAATGGAACCGTACATATTTTTTTTATATGTACTATGTAGTTTTGTCTAACTTAGAGTCTATTAAAAGCAAAAGTTATATATAAATTTGGTAAGCAATGGTTATTTTTTTCAGTTGACAATGACTACTGTGATGATAACATCCGAAATGGATGCGGCTCTGGCCTTGTTGGACTTACACAGAAATAATAATGGTAAATTTGTTTTCCCAATAATAGATAAACAGAAATCTAGTTCGTTCATTCATTATTATTACACATCTACTCTTATAAATTTGTACGTGTTATTGAAATATGTGTTTTCATTATGGATTTTACAAATTTCAGAGAGAGTCAATTCCCACCCTATGGCCAATATGGATGGGCAAGTTCATATTGCAACAATTTTCAATAGTTTCGTAAATTCCAAGGTATTAAAATTATCAGTAGTTCCTGTATTTATTTTTTTAAAACTAATAAACAATTTTTTTTTATAAAAATAAATATCTCACGATTTTTAGACTTCGCATTCACCAAGTACTAGCCCTAACCCTACAACAACCGCTGAGCGAAAATCGTGGAAGCTGTCGCCAGGAGGGAAAAGTCGAAAAACCAGTCTAGTACCAAAGAAGACAACAACATACGATATAGCAACCCAAACGGATATCGACGTAGATAACGAATCTGAAATAGAAAAAATGAGAAATGTTATTAAAGGTTTATGTGCCAGAATAGAAGAACTAGAAGCGAAACTCAAAACCAAAGAGCAAGAGACTTCTTCAGTTACGGACTCATTAGAACTAATTACTGATTATTCGAGTGATGACTTCAGACCACAGCAGAGGAGGCGATCGCATAAGCGAAAAAGAAATTTGACATTCACCACAGACTTCGTAAGTAAAATTATTATTAAAGATATAAGTGGTCTTTTGTTAACATTAAAACTTTCTACTTAACGTATCCTTTCAGAGTTCAATAGGAGATTACGATTCTACATTTAGTAAAGATGAGGATACTATAGAGAACGATGTAAAGCGAATAAAAGCTTTGACGCCGAAAAATACTGTTAAAACTAATAAAGACAAGGTAAAACAAGTTCTTTTGTATTACTTATATTATCAGTGTTATCGTTATATAAATATGCTGCAATGCTCCTTAATGTCTAGGTGTCTATTGGAGACGGAAACGCTGTGGTCCCAGCCAGGCTTCTTAAGCATATGGATTGGACTTCATACACCAACGCTACAAGGAAACTACTAACTGCTGTATTTTCGAGAAAGTCAGTAGAAAACTTTAACTCCATAGTGGAAAAATTTCGTTCCAGTATCATAAGTAAATAAATAATCATTATAATTTCAGAGTACTGGCGACCCACTCCTTAACTGGAAAACCTTCACCAGCATTTCCAGACAAACCTGCTAAAAAGAAGCTTGATCCAATGTTGGTAAATGACATTGTGCAGACGGTCGTAGAAAAATGTTGCGTCCCCGAAAATGTTGTCAGGTATGAAAATAATATATTTTCATGTATCAAAAAAGTATTTAAGATTTTCATAAAGGAATATTTTAATAAAAATTTCAACTAAGAATCTCTTTTCAAATTTCAGGACCAGTATCACCACAAAGTGTGCGGACGAAAGTAAAATGTTCCGCACACGAGAACAAAATAATAAAACGAAAAAGACCTCAAAAAAAGAAAACATCACCCCTGACGATGAATCAGAAGTAAATTCTAATGTAAAGTACCTTAAATGATTGTTTTTTTTTTATTAATTCAAACAATTTTAGCATAAGGTAATTTATTCAGTATGAAATGTAAATTGCTTTTGCTATAAATTATGTTAAATTAAGAGTGTTTATAAATTAATAAATATTAAGTAATAAATATATGGTATCAAAAAGTTAAAGTTGTATTTTTGTTTAAATAAACTTGATCAAACCAATTTATTCGATTTCTGATCTAAGTAGATGGTCACTTTTTCGATTCAATAAAACATATGACGTATTGAATACATTTAATTAAATACACTACAAAAACATCCATTATATTTTATTTCATGAAATACAAGGTGTACCTAAGACTATAAATATATACATATATATAAATGTAAATTCATTTGGTAGAATAACAATTCAGTAGTAACCGTAGAATCGCATTCTCTCATTGAACTCTAAAAGGATATGTTATTTAGAATGTTTCAATGATAAAAACGGCTACTTATATCTATATACACTGTATTTTTTACATTTTTTTTGAGTCAAATTCACTTCCATATGCGTTTAGTTTGCCATATCGTATGTTGTCTTCTTCTTTGGGACTGGATTTTTGCTCAGCGGTTGTCTTAGCGTTACTACTCGGTGAATGCGAAGTCAGACGTTTACGAGAAAAATTTTTTACAATCAAAAATCATTATTCTTTTTAAATAATTATAATAAATACTAATAATCTTTATCCCTTGGAAGTTAGGAAACTGTTAAAAATTGTTTTAATATGTTTGTTTTATTAACGAACAGTCCCATCCATATTGGCAATCGGTAGGCAATTTACTCTCTCTGAAATTAATAAAATCTTATGTTTTTGTTCGTTTCTTTTTTCTATTTAAAATAAGAGATCCTTCCGATTCATTACCTGAGCCGATATTTTCTTTTTCTGTGGACTTTCGCTTCTTTTTATTTTGTTGACGTGTTCTGAACATTTTGCTTTCGTCCGCATATTTTGTTGTAATACTGGTCCTGAAATTTCAATAGACATTTTTGTTGAAATCTTTATCACAATATCCCTTTAAGAAAATCTAAAAATAGTTATTTGATACAGGAAAATCTATCATATTTTATTAAAAGTAACCGATCTATTAGAGAATGGGTATACCGGTCATTTAGATAATGGGTTGCTAAAACTCTTAAAAAAATAATATAATTGTTTTATACTTTGTATGTATAATAGTAAAGATATTCAATAATGATAACCTCCTAGGAAAGACAGCCTGCAGCAGTTGTCGCGTCGCGGAGGTATGAGACGTCCACTCCATATTAGCCCATAACCTTGCTGGCACAGTAACATTTTCGCTTCCAAAGGATACCTGATATAATCAATATTATATAGTATATAAATATGTATAAAAGAGATTTTCACCTACAATTGACTCATCACGATATCCCTGGAACCATAAGGCGTAGCAACTTGAAATTTGGTAGAATTATTCCTTTCGCCGAATATAGGTGAGCGAAGAACGGAATTTACGAAATTCCACCCACAAGGAGGGTTGCGGGGGGTAAACAATGGAAAATACGCTTTCACGCCTAAACCACTGAACTGATTTTAATGAAATTAGGTACAGAGATGCAGTTAACCCTAAGAAAGAACATAAGATATTTTTTATTCCAGACTTTTAAAAGGTTCTCTTGGAAACCGGACACCATGCGGGCGAATCTGCGCCGGAAAGCAAGTTCTATATATTATGTACCTTTCATATTGAAAATAGTCTTGTCATTTAAAAGTCGACTTATTTGTCCATTGGGCATTGAATCTCGTCTTTTAGATTGATAATAATGGTTTTTCGTCATGGATTTAGTAAGATTAAGATTGTGATGAATCTGAAAAATAAAATAAAACAAATGGTTAAAACGAAATTTTTATATCTAGAACTGTCACACCTGTCTTTAAGCAAGAAGAGGAAATTCAAATTTACCAATGTTATTTGAACTTTGAATAAGATATATATTAAATATCGAATTTAGTACACCTACGTCTATATCTGTCGGATTTTAAATCATTGTTTTTGAATGTTTCTATTTTGTGTTGATTTACCTCTTCATAACTATCGCTATGATTCGAACTCGCTTTAACTTCTTCTGGGAGCTTGCATGTTCTATTTAAGGCATTCAAAGATCGTCCTTCCTGAGGGTCTAATATCTGAAAATAAAAACATTTTTGTATTAAATACAAAATATATATTAAATATCGAATTTAGTACACCTACGTCTATATCTGTCGGATTTTAAATCATTGTTTTTGAATGTTTCTATTTTGTGTTGATTTACCTCTTCATAACTATCGCTATGATTCGAACTCGCTTTAACTTCTTCTGGGAGCTTGCATGTTCTATTTAAGGCATTCAAAGATCGTCCTTCCTGAGGGTCTAATATCTGAAAATAAAAACATTTTTGTATTAAATACAAAATTACCACGTGGTAATATAAATATTTTTAAAGAACAATACTTCTAACAAATGACTTACTATCGACATTTTTACAATTAAATAAAGTTTTACGAATATGACATCATTCCCTTTCAGATTACTCTTAATGTTTAAATGTGATTGTAATTAGTAGATAAGTTCATTGTTTTATTGTACATACATCGATGTCAAACATATCGTGAGGGATTTAAACCTAGAATTATCTAGTATAATCTTATTTTATTCTTCCGCCGACAACACGGTTTAAATATGCGTTTATTATTTTTATATTGCTGAGTTCTCGTTTAGAAATTAAACCAAAAATGAGAATGAAATGTACAAGTATCACCTTACCAGTTGGCCAGTCTTCATTTCTTTGATGGTATTCATGGACGAAATAACTATGTTTTTAAATACCCTCGTTATATAATTAAAGGCGAATTATTTATATAACTGATATTTATAATGAATGTTTGCAAGCTGCACTAATATTTATAGGTGCTTTCTCTGATTGGTAATTGTGCATTTAAAAATAGATCACAAATTTAAGATTGTTTTCTCAAACTTTTGTAGTACCCTAGTGCAATTTATTATTATTATATTTTTTTGGTATTTATTCTATTACATATTATTATATTGGAAAAATATATTATATATATAACGATACGTTATATAGGAAAACACTTGTAATGCTCGTTACGACGGTTACAATACTAATCCCGATATATTAAAAAATGGCGGTATTTATACAAAATCATCTTGACCTAATTTAATATTAAATTTGCAAACTGAAAAGATAATATTAAACATTGTTTATCTTAATTATTCTAATAATAATAATAATAATATTTTTATTTTCAGACAAATTCTAATGATTTACGAACAAATATTATTTAATAATACAGGATTATGTAACATTAAATATTAAAGATTAATGTATTACACCGGAAGTTGATAAGCAGCAGATAACCTAGCCAGATCAGTCAAATAAGATTCTAGTAGCTAAATCCTTACATTATACATAAGAAAACAAAATTAAAATAGCTTCGATTAATCGACATAATTTGAGAAAAAATAAAAAACAATAAGCACTATTTATTAATTGCGCCGGAAGTATTAATTGATAACATATATTTAATTATTTTGTAAAACAAAAGTTAGAGTTTGAAATTTCATTTCACATACATATGTACATATGTATATAATATAGAGGGAAAGTGAAGACCAGACAGGCAGACCCTGGCTAAAGCTGGGAAATTGTCAGGAAGAAGAAGAAGATAGAGGGAAAGTAAAAAACATATTAATTGTTCTACTTCGCTTTTATTCCACCAAATGTATATTAATTATATATAATGTTTAATGTATTGTATAGGTCTTATCCTTTATTAAAGCTCACGAATTCATTTAAACAAGAAAAATTCGTTAAGGTTTTGATATCTGAAATCCATTAATTAATATTTATTTTGAGGAAAAAAAACACACTCACTTACATTAACCTTATATCTAAGAAAAAGTTTTTTTATTGTATGCTGCTCTTGTATAAATTACCTTATGTTAAAATTATTTGAAAAGGGAAATAGAAAAAATTATTAAATTATCATATAACATAAAATGCTAAGAAAATATAAAGTTTTTGATATATATTTAGTAAGAATGAATGGTTATTAAATAAATATTACTTTTAAAATAATTTCATTAATAAAATAAACAATCATTCAAGGTACTTCACATTAGAAATTTACTTAAAGATGATTTGTATTAAATATATTTAAAAGAAACAAGTAAACGAATCTATAACAATTATCTAAAATTAAACACTAACTCTAATCCTTATTGCAGACTGAGATTATTTATTTGTTTTTATCCTTTTGAGCCTCCAGGCTTCATACTAACACTGGGGTTGCCAGCGACAGAGTTATGTAACTAACACGCCGTCTTATGTGTTTACCATGCAGTGGGTCCTCATATCTGTAAACAAAAAAAAAATCTTATCAATTATCAAAGACTTGAATATTCGCCAGACCTTCTCTATTGAGATTAAATGAGATGATGATGAAACAAGAACATTTACTATTTATATCGGCAACACTGAACTGACTCTCAAACAAAAACAACAGTATCATAAATTAAAAATAGTGAAAGTAACAGAAGTTTAACACTCTTATGTTAACTTTAAATTAATTCTCTAATGACAGTAATTACCTGACTAATAATTTTAATTATCTTATGAGTATGTTATTTTTTTCTAATTAGCTTAAAAATATTCTTCTGATTCATCATCAGGGGTGATGTTTTCTTTTTTTGAGGTGTTTTTTTTCTTTTTATTTTCTCGTGTGCGGAACATTTTACTTTCGTCCGCACACTTTGTGGTGATACTGGTCCTGAAATTTTAAAAGAGATTATTAGTTGAAATCTTTATTACGATATTCATTTATGAGAATTTTATTCTTAAATACTTTTTTGATACAGGATTATTTTCATACCTGACAACATTTTCGGGTACGCAACATTTTTCTACGACCGTCTGCACAATGTCATTTACCAACATTGGATCTAGCTTTTTTTTAGCAGGTTTGTCTGGAAATGCTGGTGAAGGTTTTCCAGTTAATGAGTGGGTCGCCAGTACTCTGAAAATATAATGATTATTAACTTATGATACTGGAACGAAATTTTTCCACTATGAAATTAAAGTTTTCTACTGACTTTCTCGAAAATATTGCAGTTAGCAGTTTCCTTGTTGCGTTGGTGTATGAAGTCCAATCCATATGCTTAAGAAGCCTGGCTGGGACCACAGCGTTTCCGTCTCCAATAGGCACCTAGACATTAAGGAGCATTACAGCATATTTATATAACACTGATAATATAAATAATACAAAAGAACTTGTTTTACCTTGTCTATATTATTTTTAACAGTATTTATCGGCGTCAAAGCTTTTATTCGCTTTACATCGTTCTCTATAGTATCTTCATCTTTATTTAATGAAGAATCGTAATCTCCTATTGAACTCTGAAAAGATAGGTTAAGTTGAAAGTTTTTATGTTAAAAATATACCACTTATATCTTTAATAATTTTACTAACGAAGTCTGTGGTGAATGTCAAATTTCTTTTTCGCTTATGCGATCGCCTCCTCTGCTGTGGTCTGAAGTCATCACTCGAATAATCTGTTATTCGTTCTAATGAGTCCGTAACTGAAGAAGTCTCTTGCTCTTTGGTTTTGAGTTTCGCTTCTAGTTCTTCTATTCTGGCACATAAACCTTTAATAACATTTCTCATTTTTTCTATTTCAGATTCGTTATCTACTTCGATAACGGTTTGGGTTGCTATATCGTATGTTGTTATCTTCTTTGGTACTGGACTGGTTTTTCGACTTATCCTTCCTGGCAACATCTTCCACGATTTTCGCTCAGCGGTTGTTCTAGGGTTAGGGCTAGTACTAGGTGAATGCGAATTCTGAAATTCGTGGATATTTATTTTTATAAAAAAAATCTTTATTAGTTTTAAAAAAATAAAAACAGGAACTACTGATATTTTTAATACCTTGGAATTTACGAAACTATTGAAAATTGTTGCAATATGAATTTGCCCATCCATATTGGCCATAGGGTTGGAATTGACTCTCTCTGAAATTTATAAAATCCATAGTGAAGACATATTTCAATAACACGTACAAATTTATCAGAGTAGATATGTAATAATAAATGAATGAACTAGATTTCTGTTTATCTATTAATTATTGGGAAAACAATTTACCATTATTATTTCTGTGTAAGTCCAACAAGGCCAGAGCAGCATCCATTTCGGATGTTATCATCACAGTAGTCATTGTCAACTGAAAAAATAACCATTGCTTACCAAATTTATATATAACTTTTGCTATTAATAGACTCTTAGTTAGACAAAACTAGTACATATAAAAAAATATGTACGGTTCCATTGCATGTCGCAGGTACAAAATAAATAGTTCGTTTGTCTCGACGTAACGTACACAACGTTAACAGTAATATTCTTTATGTTTTATTGTTGCTGACTCTAGTCTACCATCCATTACTATGGTTTACTTATTATATCCTAATGGATCAGATTATGTCTAAACAACATCTTTTATTTAAAACACTTCTACCTACTTACTGTAGGTTTTAAGTGTTAGCCTAGTTCTTAGACAACATACTTTTAATCGATATTGAAGGACGCTTAAATATTTTATATTTAATACGTTACATAGTTATAGCAATTATTTTATACACTTGTTATTTAAAACTTTCTGTTTTCCTGAATATGGACTTTAAATAAAAAAATTCATACTATTTAAATTCAAGTCTATCGTCGAAGTTTTGTTATCTTGTAGTTATGTTGTATGGGATAGTAATTAAAAAGTAGTAAATTTGTTTTCATTCAAATGAGTACACGTGGAAATCGTAAATATAAATATAAACTATTAAAATGTTCTGTTTTTAATACCATTAAATTATCGCGACTCTCTGATGTCTACCAATATAATATAAGTTCATTAATTAATATAAATTATTTAAACACAGGAAAGAATTTTTCTACAATCATCGAACATAAAATTGAACAAAATATATTTGTTATTTAAAATCACTAATATATACAACCTGACACTACATTAACAAACCAGTTAGAACTCAAACGAAAATACGTGTACACGTAAAAATATTCCGTTTAGAAATATTCTAAATTGATTAAAATTAAACTTACCGATATAAAAAATTACTCTCACAGTTAGTATATCAGAAAAACTCAAAGGTGGTTACTTCCTTAATTACTGAGTGTACACTGACCAATATTTGTAACAGGGTTGATGAAATCAGCTCGCCATCGGGTAGCTTTGGGGGTTTCTTTACATTTCTCTTTTGTTTCATTACCAGGTACATCCTTAATTCTTATTGCCCTCTATTTATTTTAATTCTTCCTAATATAGATAAGCCTGCTAAGAAAATACCATTCACTAGTAACTAGTTAATCCGTTTATTGGACTAATCAGCTTTCATGCGTTATTTTTATTGTTCTTTCTTATTCTTAAAAATATATTTTATTTTTAAAATACCACCAATTATTTTGTTTATGTTTTGAAACAATTAAGTGAGTCTGTCTTTATTATTTCGGTGTATTTTTAACAATGTTGTTCGTTTTACAGTCGTTAGGTTTAAATAATAAGATCTAAGATTTTCGCGAGTCTTATGTACACAGATGACACCTTAAAAATATTAAATACAAAAAAACATCTGCTTTTCTGAACCATTTTTATTTTATCAATAGCAAGATTCAGTTTACTATACAATTAGAGGCAAATAATTAATTAGCTTTTCTTGATATATTGTCTTCAGGAATCTTGATAATACTTTGGGACATACTGTTTATAGGAAACTCACACATACGGATAGGTATATCGATGGTTATTCACACCACCACCCTATACAGTTAGCTACCGTTGGTAAATTGTATGCCAGAAAATTAAGAAATCGATGGCAGTAGGTGATAAATAACAAGACCAACATAGAGACATTCACATCTCGTCTGCTCGTGATCCCAGTAGCCTAAAAGTAGCCGAAGCGACGGGAGTATGTAGTTTTTATCAAAAATAAAGTCGCGTAAATATCCGAAAAATATCAGTTTCATTCAAACGTTAGGTTTGATATTTTAAATTACTTAAAATAACGTCAATATTCACTTGATTGTCTTGTCTCTTCAACATTATTTGAGATCTTTTACGTATCGTTTGTTTTCTATAAGATAGGAAACAAAGAGAAACATTATTATCAATCAATTAATATATATGAATATCACTATAATTACAAAATGCACTTTTTCTCATCATATTGTAAGGTGCCACGTGATTGTTATTATCAAAGATCTTAGAAAGTAAGAAATAGCATGCTCACATTTTAAATGGAAGGTAACTGTAGTAAAATAATTGGATTCATTATAAGAGTGAGAATAATGTATGTGCAAATAGTTATAATTATGGATGAAAAACACAAATAATTAAAATGAATGAATAGAAAATCTACCATACCAGATATCCTAAGTACTTGGTCCTTGTGTGCTCCATTGTTTTCATTCCCATTGTTAAGATCGGCCTCGTGTTGGATGATATTATTAGTATTTATAACGCCATAATTAGAAAACGCAGTTTTATCTTCGACATATTCTACAAGCAACCAAAGTTTAGGATCCATTGCTATTCGCAGGTAAAAATATTAACAAACAAAAGAATATGAATCACTGATCTTATAATAATCTTTTAGCGGCTTTGAGCCGTTGGAAGTGGTTTGAATTTTAAGAAACAGTACTAATTTTACAAATCCATTGAAAGTTATAAACTTAATCATTTTCTAGAATTCTAGCCATTAAAAATTTCTCTTCACTCAAATATAACAATAAACATATGTTTATAATCAGCTGTAGTTTTTAAGCAATGTGGAAAAAAGTACGATACTTGTGTATATTATGGGTACAACCGAAAAGTTCCTAAAACAGTTATAGGTATTACGGCCATTGATTAGCTACTTTCCTGCAAAACCCGAATTCAAATGGAGTCAACAAATATGAGTTTATTTGTATGAATGTTTAGAAAGTAAAAAACTCATAAATTAGAAATTCTTCTTGAACGAATAATTAGTTATAAAACTTTCAGAAGTTTTACCTTTTCGTGATAAAAATACAAAGGAATATAAATAAATATCAAAACTTTTACATATTCTTAGCATTTTATTTTTATGATGTAATGTACATACTTTTCTCATTATTATAAAATAGACAAATAAATTCAACATACAATCAAAAATATTTTTTTTCTTTTCAATAAGGTTCATTTCAGTTAGTTTTTGGTTCAAAATTAAAATTAATGAATAGAACCAAGGTATCAAAACGTGAATAATGTTTTCTTGTTTAAATGAACTTGGTCAAAAGCAATAAATTAGATTTTTTGATATATATACATAGATCACTTGTGAGCTTTTCCTTTTAGTATAAGATAAATCCTATTGAATACATTTACATAACAACATATATTATTAAACATCCATTATTTTTCATTTCATAAAATAAAAGGTGTATACCTAGGACTATAAATGTGTGTATATGTATATATATCGGATTTATTATAAATTCATTGTTTTTAAAGAGAGGGACGCCAGCCTCGCTGACGTCACTTACATATGTCACTTCATCTAGAATGTTCCATGATATTTTAAAATGAAACTTCAATTGTTCTTAATGTTCCTGTATTTCTCTAAGGTTCTTCATAATAACATTATTCAATGGTCCGTACTAACTGAACTCTGCTGTCGTGCGACCAGACATCATATTTATAACAAGATTTAAACATACATAGTTCCATTCTCCTTTTAAACAATCTTTGATTTCGTTTTACTTTAAATAATAATAATCATGAATACTAATGACTTATGACAATAATAATTGATGACAGGCTCAAGTTATTTTCACGTCGCATCCGTCATTAAAGCTGATAGCGCCGATATATATGTATAATAATAAGGTAATGCATAATTGTATATACATTTGGTAAAATAAGAATGAATCAGTACAAATAAATTAATTTTTCTGAATTTTTCTACATATTTATTTCTATAATAACAAAAGAAGGCCCTTAAAAAAGTTGGAGTTACATAGTAGGACTATTTCAAGGTTGTCGTTTATCTCCAATAGTATTAAATATTGTTATCAATATCTTAGTAGATAAACTTATCAGCAATGAGAAAAAATGGGGTATCAGTTTAAGTTCAATAACAAATACATACACGGAATCCATTTTAGCCTTCGCTGACGATCTCGCAATACTAACACATAACCCCAAACAGTGTCAACTACTTTTGGATGAAGTGGATAAATTCTGTGAGTGGACGGATGGATTGAGGACAAAACCTAGTAAATGTCATTGTCTGTGTCTTGGTAGGCGGAATACAAGATACACCTCATATGATCCGGGAATATCGTTAGGCGGTCAAAACGGAAAATGCACCATTTATGTTTCTCGGTCGTAAGATTAATAATATAGGCCGTACTCCATCTTTAGAAGACATCGTAGATAGCTTTTTAAACGATCTCAACAAGGTGGACAGCCAACAGAACAGTAACCTCAAAACAGTTTGAATCTACGATAATTCCCTAACTTCATGTTTGAATTGGCCTTTCCTCGTCTATGATTTTAATAAAACCCTTTTATCTTAATTCGATGCAGGCGTCATAAAGATGTTGAAGTTGTGGCTCAGGCTCGCGCTAACGGCTGATTCATCGGCTTTATTCAGGGATCGTAATAATTTTGGGATGAATCTAAAAAGGCCATCGGAGCTCTATGAACACCTAAGAGTTTCCAAGAGACATATCCTGGGAAAATCCCATGATGACGTCGTTACATAACTCCCAAAAGACAAAGATGCGTCAGAGCTACAGTCACGACTTCAATTCCATAAACAATTTATGATCGGAGCACAAAATAACAGAGGGTTAGGATCAAGTAGGAAAGTCCAAGATACGGATATATTGAAGTCTTTTATTCGGGAAGACGAGAACGTATATATGTATAATGTATATATATAGACGTAACTTATATTTATATAAGATCCATGCAATGAGTTTGCACCCGCACGGTGATTCCATAGAATGCTAAGAGGTTTCGTCCCGTCTGTGAAATGAAATTTCAAACTCAAACTTTTGTTTTACAGAATAACGATAAAGTATATTTCCCGATAGAATAATTTGTAATAGATTATATAACATAAAAATAATAATAAAATGCAATATGGTATTACAAAGTTAAAAAAAACGATCATAAAATTTGTGATCCATTTAACAATATTAAACGACTACAGTATCTTCCACTTTTGATTTTATAATATTTTGAAACTGAAAAGATTTGATTGTCTAAAAGGACTTTTTAATATTCGTCTTTATAAAAATTCTTTAACTGAAAATCGTTAAATTAGTAAAGGGACTCTGATTTCCAATTAAATACGAATTCTAAAATAAAAAAGGTTTAAGTAATTTTGATTTTTAATATAATATTAATCTTTATACCTGTTGTATGTTTTAAGTTACTTACCTGATTGTTTAAAAATACAAACAAAACGATTCCTCACATTTTAAAAACAAAATATATTTTTAATCCCTATTAGAATTACTCTTGAAAGCTAATTAGTTCAATAAATGGATAAACTAGTTTCTAGTCAATGAATTTTCTTCGTAGTTGTATTGTATTTGAAATCGTATTCGAAAGAATCGAAAACAATAGAAGGCAATAAGAATTTAGGATGTACCTGATAATGACACAAAAGAGTAATATAATGAAACCCCCAAAGCTACCCGATGGCGAGGTGACTTAGTCAACCCTGTTACAAATATTGGTCAGTGTACACTCAGTAATTGAGGAAGTAACCACACTTGTTGTTATTCTGATATACTAACTGTGAGAGTAATAATTTTATATCGGTAAGTTTAATTTTTAACAATTTAGAATATTTTTTACGTGTAAAAGTTTTTTCGTTTGAGTTCTAACTGGTTTGTTATTGTAGCGTCAGATTGTATATATTAGTGATTTTAAATAACAAAAATATATTTTGTCAAATTTTATGTTTGATGATTGTAGGGAAATTCTTTCCTAGGTTTAAATATTTAGATAAATATATGAAATTTTAGTATATTGGTGGAAATCAGAGAGACGCGATGATTTGATAATATTATAAACAGGACATTCTTTTAGTCTAAATATGTACTGATATTCAAGATTTTCGCGTGTGTTTATTTAAATGAAACTGAGCTTTATTTCTATATTATAAACATTAATGTACGTATAACTACATATATAACATCCAAGACATCAAAAATACGCGTAGTATTCGAAATACTGATATTTATTACAATTTAAATTTAATGTACCTATATTATTCAGGAGTAGAGATTTTTTGTACTAGGCTTACACTTCCAACAAATGGTCAGCAGGTCAGGTCAGAAGTGTCTAAAATAAAAGATGTTATTTAGACGTAAGCTGATCTATTAGAATATAGTAAGTAAACAATAGCTCTATGGATGGTAGACTCAAGCCAGCAACAAGAATACATAAAGATATTACTGTTAACGTTGTGTACGTCTAGACTAACGAAACTTTTATTTTGTACCTGCAACTTGCAATAGAGTCATGGTATTTTCATATGTACTGCCTTTGGCTAACTTGGTGTCTATTTTTTAAATAATTTTTTTCAGTTAATAATGACTACTGTGATGATAACATCTGAAATGGATGCGGCTCTGGCCTTGTTGGAATTACACAGGAATAATTATGGTAAATATACTTTCCCCATAATTAAAATACAAAAATCCAGTTCATCCATTCATTATAACATGTCTACACCAATTATTTTGTATGTGTTATTCATATATGTGTTTTGATTGTAGTTTAATTAATTCCAGTGAAAGTAAATACCCGACCAATAGCCAATATGGATGGGCCAGTTCATATTGCAACAATGATTAACGGTTGCATAACTTCCAAGGTAGTATGATTATTAGTAGTTATTATATTTATAGAAAAAGACTACATATTTTTGATTATAATAATAAACATCTCATGAATTTCAGAATTCGCATTCACCGAGTACTAGCCCTAAAGATAAAACAACCGCTGAACAAAAATCGTGGATGGTGTCGCCAGAAAGGAAAATACGAAAAACCAGTCCAGTCCCCAAGGAGAAAATAAAATACGAAGTAGCAACCCAAACGGATATCGAAATAGGTATACCTAAAAAAGAAAAATTGGAAAAAGTAATTAAACAATTACATTCCAAAATCGAAGAACTGGAAGCGGAACTTAAAACCAGAGAGCCAGAGACCCTTTCAGTTCCAGACCCATTAGAACAAAGGACAGACTGTTCGAGTGATGACTACTTCAGACCACAGCAGAGGAGGCGATCGCATAAACAAAACAGAAATTTGACAGTCACCACTGACTTCGTAAGTAAAATTATTAAAGATATAAGTGGTATATTTTTAACATAAAAACATTCAATTTAACCTATCTTTTCAGAGTTCAATTGGAGATTACGATTCTACATTTAATAAAGATGAAGATACTATAGAGAATGATGTAAAGCGAATAAAAGCTTCGACGCCGATAAATACTGTTAAAAATAATAAAGACAAGGTAAAACAAGTTCTTTTGTATTATTTATATTATCAGTGTTATTGTTATATAAATATGCTGTAATGTTCCTTAATGTCTAGGTGCCTATTGGAGACGGAAACGCTGTGGTCCCAGCCAGGCTTCTTAAGCATATGGATTGGACTTCATACACAAACGCTACAAGGAAACTACTAACTGCTGTATTTTCGAGAAAGTCAGTAGAAAACTTTAATTTCATAGTGGAAAAATTTCGTTCTAGTATCATAAGTAAATATTATATTTTCAGAGTACTGGCGACCTACTCTTTAACTGGAAAACCTTCACCAGCATTTCCAGACAAACCTGCTAAAAAGAAGCTAGATCCAATGTTGGTAAATGACATTGTGCAAACGGTCGTAGAAAAATGTTGCGTCCCCGAAAAGGTTGTCAGGTATGAAAATAATATATTTTCCTGTATCAACAGAAAATAAAAAGAAAAAAAAGAGCTCAAAAAAAGAAAACATCACCCCTGATGATGAATCAAAAGAATATTTTTAAGCTAATTAGAAAAAAATAACAAACATAATCATAAGATAATTAAAATTATTAGTCAGGTAATTAATTACTGTCATTAGCAAAATATAATTCAAGTTAATATGCTCGTGTAAAACTTTTGTTGATTTTATTATTTTTCAATGACAAAATCATACGCATTTTTAACATACATATTTTAAATTTATGATACTTTTGTTTTTGTTTGAGAGTCAGTTCAGTGTTGCCGATATAAATAGTTAATGTTCTTGTTTCATCCTCATCTCATTTAATCTCAATAAAGAAGGTCTGGCGAATATTCAAGTCTTTGATAATTGATAAGATTTTTTTTTGTTTACAGATATTGTCCAGTATTATGCTGTGGTCCCAGCCAAGCGTCTCAAACATATGGAGTGGCCTTCATACACAAACGCTACAAGAAAACTACTAACTGCTGTATTTTTGAGAAAGTTAGTAGAAAACTTGAATTTCATATTGGCAAAATTCGTTCCAGTATCATAAGTAAACAATCATTATATTTTCAGAGTACTAGCAACCCACTTTTTTACTGGAAAACCTTCACCAGCATTTCCAGACAAACCTGCTAAAAAGAAGCTAGATCCAATGTTAGAAAATGACAATTTGCAGACGGTAGTAGAAAAGTGTTGCGTCCCCGAAAATGTTGTCAAGTATAATAAGAAAATGCGATAAATTATCCGCTATTAAATAACAATTTAAGATTTTTATAAAAGAATATTGAGATAAAGATTTCAACTAAACGGTTCTATCGAAATTTCAGGACCAGTTTCAGAGATCAGACCAGATCTGTTTTAGAGAGAGTTAATTCCCGACCGATGGCCAATATAGATGGGTCTGTTCATATTACAACAAATTTTAACAGTTGTATAACTTCCAAGGAATTACGATTATTAGTAGTTATGATAATGTAATAATAAATATCTCATGAATTGCTGTCATTTACTTGTCATTTACTGAGAACTAGCCCTAAACGCTAAGAAAACCGCTGAGCCAAAATCATGGAAGGTGACGCTAAGAAGGACAAACTGAAATTCCAGTCCAGTGCCCAAGAAGAAAATAACATACGATGTGGCAACCCAAACAGATAAAGGTAATGTACCTTAAAAATAAAAAATGAAAAATGTAATTAAAGAAATACATTCCAAAATCGAGGTACTGGAAGCGAAACTTAAAACCAGAGAGCCAGAGACCCTCTCAGTTCCAGACCCATTAGAACAAATGACAGACTGTTCGACTGATGACTACTTCAGACCACAGCAGAGAAGGAGATCCAATAAACGAAAAAGAAATTTGACAGTCACCACGGACTTCGTAAGTTAAATTATGAAAGATATAAGCAGCCGTTTTTATCACTCAAACATTCTAAAATATAACATATCCTTTCAGAGTTCAATGAGAGATTGCGATTCTACATTTAATAAAGAGAAAAATGTGAAGCGAATAAAAGTTTTGAAATAATAAAATAATGTTAAAACTAATCACAACACGGTAAACCAAATTCTTTCGTATGAATTATATTGTCAATGTTCTTATTGTATAAGCTGTAATACTCCCCAATTTATAGGTGGTTATTGGTGATGGAAATGCTGTGGTCCCAGCTAGGCTTTTTAAGCACATGGATTGGACTTCATACACAAATGCTACAAGAAAACTACTAACTGCTGTATTTTCCAGAAAGTCAGTAGAAAGCATTAAATTCATATTGGAAAAATTCGTTCCAGTATCATAAGTAAATAATCATTATATTTTCAGAGTACTGGCGACCCACTCTTTAACTGGAAAACCTTCACCAGCATTTTCAGACAAACCGGCTAAAAAGAAGACGGATGACTGCTGGAAAGACAGCCGAGGGCGACGGCCTAGCAAGCCCAGCCCGGTATACATAAAGCTAAAAGTCCGAATAAGAAAAATACCCCTGGGACAGTCCGACAGGGGGGGCGAAAGAACTGTCCACCGGTCGATTTTAACGGCGAAAACGGCGCGAATACGGACTTGAAATGCTCTACGTGCGGGAAAAACTACAAGAGCCGAGCCTGGTACATTAAACATCTAAAAACACATAATGGTGTTGAAGCGCGACAATCGTCGGTAAGATCTCCAACTTTCACTTCGGATAGAGTTGACCCTCATGTATCTCATGGTGAACCATTAACTGGAAACCACCAGGAGTCCATTAACATCAGGACACGTCTCAGCATTCCTAATGTAAAACAATCGACTTGGAAAGTTCATGACGACAACTTAGCGGTCCTGTTAGAGTATCCGGGCTCGAAGCAGGAATTGAACTCGCAGGTAGAAACTTTCCAAAATACCGTTTATGACTACTTTAGCGAGCAATATCCACCTCGTAATCGTTATGCTCGCAAAAATAAAGACAATTCGTTCAAAATAAAAATGCGGAAGAAAAAACGGGAATTAATAAAAAATCTACGTATAGCCAAAGCTCTAGGCGACAATCACCTCAGTCATCAACTAGCTAGGGCGTTAAGATCAATCCTTAAATTAATCCAAGGAATATCGGCGCAAACTGCAGAATATCGCGATAATTTTGACCGGGCCAAACAAGAAGTAGATTTCGATAAAAACCCTTTTGAGTATTCGAAAACCATTTTTAAGAAAGAACGCGGACAGCTTCTCTTGACCAACGATCAAATTTACGACCATTTTAAGAGCACATACGAAGTGCCTAAAAGTTTAAGACGGTATAGGGATCCAAACGATCAAAAACCTGAATTTCCTCGAATCGAATTCCACGGCATTCCACCAACGCTAGAGGAACTAAGTAGTCAGATCAAGAGGAAGTCGTCTAAATATGCACCGGGACCCGATGGTATCCCATATATAGTCTTTAAAAAATGTCCATCGGTTCGTAAACACCTCCTAAATATATACGGTAAAATCTGGTCAAGGAAGAAAATCCCGGAGTGCTTCGGGAAAGCAATTTTTTTCCTCATTCCCAAAAAATATCGAGTTACTGATCCGAAAGATACTAGACCGATAGCTTTAACAAATACTATATCGAAAATCTTTTTCTCGGTTCTACAAACGAGAATGACGCGATTCATGCTCAGCAACAACTATTTTAGGCCAAATCACCAGAAAGGGTTTTTACCCGGGATTTCTGGATGCCTAAAACACAACACCTTACTGTCGGAGAGTTCGAAAGATGCTAGAAAAAGCGAGCGGCAAATCACTGTTTGTTGGAAAGACTTGGAGAACGCGTTCGGGTCGATACAACACGAATTGATGCTATCCGCGCTTAGATGGTACAACTTTCCACCCCTAGTTAGTGATATGATCGCGTCGTATTACTCAAAATTAAGGTTTTCTATAATAACTAAAGAAGGCCCTTCAAAAAGTTAGAGTTATAATGTAGGACTGTTTCAAGGTTGTTGTCTATCTCCAATTGCGTTTAATATCGTAATTAACATCTTAGTAGACAAACAAATCTATAACGAGAAAAAATGGGGTTATCGATTTAAGTTTAATAATAAATACACGAAATCCATTTTAGCCTTCGCTGACGATCTCGCAATACTGACACGTAACCCCAAACACTGTCAAGTACTATTAGATGAAGTGGATAAATTCTGTGAGTGGACGGATGGATTGAGGACAAAACCCAGTAAATGTCACTGTCTGTGTCTTGGTAGGTAGGAATACATGATACACCTCATACGATCCGGGACTATCGTTAGGCGGTCAATGCATTTCTACGGTTACGGAAAATGCACCATTTAAATTTCTCGGTCGTAAGATAGATAATATTGGTACGAGAGCTAGCAACGTCAAAAAAACAAGCATTTCAGGTAGGCTAGTTTTTAGATATGCTATCTCTCACACTCCCCTGGACGTCCTACGGGCTATCTGGCTCCCGGTAGTGGTTGCGTTCATCAGTGCGCATCGTACTTGTGGAGGTAAAAAATTAATATATCAAATCATTTTAAGAAGGTTTTTATTATTATTATTATTATTATTGAACTATTCACAACATAAATTTATTATTGCCAGGTATTTTTATTGTTGTTTAAACGGTGCCAGGCGGCAATTTTGAATTAAAATTTTTTTTTTTTCAAACTATTTTAGTATAGCTGAAATTTTAATAGCATGATATTTAACTATCTAAAAGCTCAGAATTAATTTGCCAGGCAAAAAATCGGTTGTTAAACTTTTGCCAGATCGAAATAAAGTGTAAAGATATGTAGTATCATTTAAGCTTGGTCTAGAAAATTAATCGTCTAATAAATGATGGAAGAAGGATTAACAACTATTGAATTTATTTATAGATGAATACGGTATAAAAATAATACTTTATTGTTGTACAAAATTGAGATAATGATCAATGTTAAGTTTGAAAAAGATCATCATCTTCATCACTGCTGTCATTTCCATTGTCATCATCGTCCTTAAAATTATTATCATTTTGTAATAAGCTGTTATCTGTAATAGAATCAAAAAATTTAATATCTTTCGAGAAATAATTTATTTTTGTATTTTAGTTCAAATTTTTACCTTTAATAATAATATCGGCAACTAATGTTGGTAATTGCTCCCCAACGAACCAGATAAAATCATATTTATCATCATTAATGGTCCAGCCAGAAGCTTGAGGTGATAGAGATGTTGGGTATTTTAAATAAGCATTTCTCCAAAACGTTGTGACATAACGAACTCGTAGTAAGTGTTGATATAACTCAGCTTTACTTGGTGGTAGACTTGATGGATCAAAATTACGGAACTTTTTTTCAAAATTATACGATAGGGTTTTAGAAATCATACGTGAAGCGGTTAGTCTTTCGGTAGCCAGAGCGCTTTTTCAAACTTAACATTGATCATTATCTCAATTTTGTACAACAATAAAGTATTATTTTTATACCGTATTCATCTATAAATAAATTCAATAGTTGTTAATCCTTCTTCCATCATTTATTAGACGATTAATTTTCTAGACCAAGCTTAAATGATACTACATATCTTTACACTTTATTTCGATCTGGCAAAAGTTTAACAACCGATTTTTTGCCTGGCAAATTAATTCTGAGCTTTTAGATAGTTAAATATCATGCTATTAAAATTTCAGCTATACTAAAATAGTTTGAAAAAAAAAAAATTTTTAATTCAAAATTGCCGCCTGGCACCGTTTAAACAACAATAAAAAAAACCTGGCAATAATAAATTTATGTTGTGAATAGTTCAATAATAATAATAATAATAAAAAAAACCTTCTTAAAATGATTTGATATATTAATTTTTTACCTCCACAAGTACGATGCGCACTGATGAACGCAACCACTACCGGCAGCCAGGTAGCCCGTAGGACGTCCAGGGGAGTGTGAGAGATAGCATATCTAAAAACTAGCCTACCTGAAATGCTTGTTCAAAAACGTTGCTAGCTCTTAGAATATATAGGACGTACTCTATCTTTAGAAGGAATAGTAGAAAGCTTTTTGAACGATCTTAACAAGATAGATAGAAATTAGAAATGCAGAACGAGTGGTTAGACATAGGAGATTTTTGCATCCCATTAGCATTAAAATGGCGCACTTTTATTTATGATTGGTCGCCAGCATTGCTAAAATTCTATCTCAATGCGTTCCAGATGACTCTCCCAGATCAGAGTAATTTAGTAAGATGGGGTAAAAGTACCGAAAAAACTTGCTATATCTGTGGAAAGGCAGTTGGAACTGCTAAGCATCTGCTGGTGGGATGTAAGGTACTCCTGGACAGCGGTCAATACTCGCGTCGTCACGATAGGGTTCCAGAAGTCATACGTGAAGCGGTTAGGCTTTCGGTAGCCAGAGCGCAAAAGGAAATAACCACAAACGAACGATCAGTAGGTTTTGTGAACGAAGGCACTAGGGCTACAAAATCAAACGTCAAGCCTTACTCCATCCTTAAAACGGCGTCGGATTGGACTATAATGATGGACACGTATGAAAAACAATATAAAATCCCCGAGGATATTTGTGCGTCGGCCTCCAGACCGGATATATTTTTGTTTTCGCGAATTTTAAAGCGCGTAGTGATGATAGAGCTTACGGTCCCTTGGGAAACCAACATCCCCAAAGACCATACCATCAAGGTCAACAAATATTACGAGCTCACAAACGAACTCACTCGAAATAGGTTCGTAGTAGATTTGTACGCGGTAGAGGTGGGAGCGAGAGGTATAACAGCGAAATCTCTCTATAACCTACTAAAGGACTTGGGCTTGTGCAGAACTCACATTAATGCATTCTTGGAACGTACATCGAAGGCAGCCCTAGTAGGTTCTTTTCAAATTTGGTTAGGTAGGGAGAGAGAGGAGCTTGGACAGTGGAGGTGAGCGTATAACGCGCGTTAGTTAAGGGGCCCCTTAAACCTACACTTGGGTCGCAAGTCCCAGGCACTGTTGAAGCTCCTCTCCCTGCAACGCAATGGACCCGGCACCCGCACGGTGAATACATGGAATGCTGAGTACTTTCGTCTTGATCCAATGTTAGTAAATGACATTGTGCAGACGGTCGTAGAAAAATGTAGCGTCTCCGAAAAGGTTGTCAGGTAAAATAAGAATATGTAACAGATTTTCCTATATTAGATAACAATTTAAGATTTCTACAAAGGAATATTGTTATAAAGAGTTCAACGAAAAAGTTCTTTTGAAATTTCAGGACTAGTTTCACAGATCAAACCAGACCAATTTCAGAGCGAGTTAATTCCCAACCGATGGCCAATATGGATGAGCCAACAGGCTCATATTACAATAATTTTTAACAGTGTCATAACTTCCAAGGGAGTAAGATTATTAGCAGTTATTATGTTGTGATAATAAATATCTCATGAATGTCAGACTTGTCATTTACTGAGAACTAGCCCTAACGCTAAGAAAACCGCTGAGAAAAAATCGTGGAAGGTGTTGCCAGGAAGGACAAATTGAAAATCCTGTCCAGTCCTCAAGAAGAAAATAACATACGATGTAGCAACCCAAATGGTTATCAAAGTGAATATACCTCAAAAAGAAAAAGTGGAAAAAGCACTTAAACAATTACATTCCAAAATCGAAATACTGGAAGCGAACTTTAAACAAATAGCCGTTCAGTTTCATACCCATTCGAACGACTATTTCAGACCACAGCAGAGAAGGCGATCTAATAAGCGAAAAAGAATTTTGACAGTCACCACAGTCACGTTAAATTACATATATAATATATAAGTAGTGGCTTTTATCATTCAACCATTCTAACATATCCTTTCAGTGTTCAATGAGATTGCGATTCTACGTTTACTACTTAATTTTTATTCCACCAAATGAATATACAATTATATGTACATCATATTATATAAATATTATTATAGTCCTGGGTATACACCTTGTATTTTATGTCATAAAATGTAATGGATGTTTTAGTAGTTTATTTTATTAAATGTATTTTATAGATCATATGTTTCAATAAAAACGAAAGTTACAAACTGACCATCTATATTAAAAAAATAATTAATTGATTTTGACCAAGTTCATTTAAACAAGAAAACACCAATAAAGATTTGATACCTTAGTCCTATTACTTAATATTATTTTTTGGCCAGAAACACACTTAACATTTAATAAAACATCTCTAAACATCACATATTAACATACACTAATACACAATTTTCTGATACGACGTATATAAAAAAAAACATTATAACTCTTCTTCTTAATGCCGACTTACTCACTTTTTGTTTTCACGGCCCTGGATATCAGTACTTTTGAACCTCCATGCTTGAGATTGACACAGGTTGCCAGCGACAGAGTTATCCAACTAACACGATTATGTGTTTACCGCGCAGAGGGTCCTTATATCTGTAAACAAAATACAAATACTTGTCAAAGAATTGAATATTAGCGAGGCTTCCTTTTTAGAGATGACGATGAAACGAGAACATTTACTATTTTTATCGTCAACAATGAAATGTATTCAATGCGAAATTTGTTTTCGTTCATAAAAAAATAATTAAAGAAACAGTTGCTTAAGATTAAGATCATCCCATGTTTACTTTAAATATATGTATTTCATTAATGACTAACTAATAGTTAATAACCTGACTAATATTTTCAATTATCTTATGTTTGTTATGGTCAGTGGTTGCCTAGTCGTTAAAGTGCCCGCCTCTCGTTGCCGAGGGCGCGGTTGAGTCGTATGTACTTTTTGAGAGTAGTTATACACCACTGACATACGGTGAAGGAAAACATCATGAGGAAACCTGGATTTATAAATTCACAATTATAAGTTTGAAATCACCAACCCGTCTTGAGCAAGCGTGGGGTAAGCATTAATATGCTCAAACCTTCTCCATATAAGAAAGTGGACTCTGGATAGGCTGATGACAACGACGACGATGTTTGTTTTCATTTCTTGTTTCTAATTAAAATAAAAGATTCTTCTAATTCATCATCTGGGCAGATATTTTCTTTTATTGTGGACTTTCACTTCTTTTTGTTTTGTTCGCGGGTTCGTAACTTTTTTCTTTCGTCTGCACATTTTGTTGTGATACTGGTCCTGAAATTTCAATAGAAAATTTAAATTGAAATCTGTATCACAGTATCTCTTTATGAAAATCTTAAATAGTTATTAGATACAGGAAAATCTATCATATTTGATTAAATTTAATAAGTCTTTAAGAAGTGGTTATGAATTAAATATAAATCTTGTGATTAACATAATTTAATTTGCAATTTCTCTGAGTATTACACATAGAAACACAGGGGAAGATATAAAACATTGCATTTTTAAATCCTCATATTCATATATGTATCTATTCTGATGTTTTATTCACCACAAACAAATAATATGTTTTATTATTAATCTCTTCTATTAGACAACCCTAGAAAGGGAAGCTAAAACTCTAAAAAAAATCATGTGATTGTGTTATGTTATGTATGTACAATAGTAATGATATTAAATAATGATTACCTCTAGGAAAGAAGGCTGCAGCAGTTGTCGCGTCTCGGAGGTATGAGACATCCAATCCATATTAGCGCATAAACTTGCTCGCACAGTAACATCTCCGCTTTCAACGGATACCTGATATAATCAATATAACATATATACTATATATTATGTACCTTTCATATTGAAAATAGTCTTGTCATTTAAAAGTCGACTTATTTGTCCATTGGGCATGGAATCTCGTCTTTTATATTGATAACTAGTAAACCCGGCGAACTCCGTTTCGCCACCAGAAGGCTTTTATATAACATTTCGTTTGGTGATTAAAAGACGAAGAAGTTTTTTTTGTTTTATATTTGAAAAAGAAAATTTGATTTCATTTCACAACAGTAATTAATTCATTTCGATAATAAAAATGAAGTGTTATTTAGTTGAACTTCTCTAAGTAAATGAAAGTGAATCCAAAGTAGATACCGAATCGAAGCGTTATACGTGAAGTGCTCCTTTGTAAACCACATTTTTTGTTTTTTGGTCTAATTTTAACACAAATAAAGCGTATGGTTTCCAAACTCGTGAACACACAAAATATAACTGCCCATGTGAAAAACAATGATTTTCTAAATTTATCCCGTAAATACTAAATGGCTTTAAGAATTCAAACTACAAACACAATACCGGTTTGTCACATGAAATTAACTGAGAAGAGAACAATGTGTAGCTGTCAAACAATGTATCATGCGACGGCACCGTCTACTTACAATTTTGATTAGTAGTACATGTTATGTATGATGGCACTGTATGTGAAAAAAGATTTTCGCCCTTTTCTTGGTTATTTCGTTCCGAAGTTATAGCGTCAGGATAGAAAACAGGACTTATTTTTATATAGTAGATTTCTTTCAAATAACAAATTGTCATCCATACGTCATTACATATCTGTCATTATACGTCAATGACGTTTTGTTATTCCAACTCTGATTCTTTTTTGTTATATCACGTTTTATAGTGACTGACGTTTCATGTCAAGTCCCACGGTAATGCTGTCGAACGGGATAAAAAGTATCCTATTGCAATTTCCTGGTTCTAAATTACCTCCCTGACAATTTTCAGCAAAATCGGTTCAGCCGTTTTTGGGTTATAAGTGAAGTAACTAACACGACTTTCTTTTATATATATAGATAATGGTTTTTCGGCATGAATTTAGTAAGATTAAGATTATGATGGATCTGAAAAATAAAATAAAACAAATGGTTAAAACGAAATTTTTACATCTACGACTGTCACACCCGTCTTTAAGGGAGCAGAGGAAATTCTACTTTGCCAATGTTATTTGAACTTTTAATCTTCTTCTTCTATATATATAAAAATGGATTGCTGTTCCTTAGTCTCGCTAAAACTCGACAATGACTGAACCGATTTGACTAATTTTAGTCTTGAAATACTCCTGGAAATCCAGGGAAGGTTTAAAAGGTGAGAAAAATTGGAATAATTGCCGAGAAAAACCTAAAAACAGCCCTTTTCTATTTCCCATACAAACGTTTTTTTTGACATTAGATTTGACAACTAACTTGTAATATGTTAATCATTCTGTTTGATTGAAACAGGAAAAACCTGATTATTTATGGCCTCTAAGACGGAATAGAGTTCGCCTGGACAGCTATAGCTACATATATTACTCTTGACCAAACTAATGCGGACGAAGTCGCGGGCAAAAACTAATAAGATATAAATATCGAAATTAGTACACCTACATCTATATCTGTAGGATTTTTAATCATTGTTTTTGAATGTTTCTATTTTGTGTTGATTTACCTCTTCATCACTATCGCTATCATTTAAACTCGTTTCAACTTGTTCTGGAAGCTTGTATGTTCTATTTAAGGCATTCAAGGATCGTTCTTCCTGAGGGTCTAATAACTGAAAATAAAAACATTTTTGTATTAAATACAAAGCCACAATTACCACGTATAAATATAAATAATTTTTAAAGAACAATACTTTTAACAAATAAACAACTCAATGTCGACGTTTCAACAGATAAATAAAGCACCGATACGTCAGCTACAAGTTCTAAGAATATGACATCATTCTCTTTCAGATTACTCGTAATGTTTAAAGGTGATAGTAATTAGTATATAAGTATTTTTTTTATAGTACATACATGGATGTCAAACATATCTTGAGCGATTTAAACCTAGAATTATCTATCATCTTAATTTATTTTTCATCCGACAACACGGTTTAAACATGCGTTTTAGTATTATATTAAGTATTATATTGCCGAGTTCTTGTTTAGATATTAAACCAAAAATGCGAATGAAATGTACAAGTGTCACCTTACCAGTTGGCCAGTCTTCATTTCTTTGATAGTATTCATGCACAAAGTAACGACATTCTTCACTTGATTGTCTTGTCTCTCCAACGTTATTTTGAGATCCTTTACGTATCGTTTGCTTTCTATGAGATAGGAAACAAAGAGAATCATTATTATCAATCAATTAATTAATATGAGTATCACTATAATTGCAAAATGCACTTTTTCTCTTCATATCATAAGGTGCCACGTTATTGTTACTATCAAATATCTTAGAAAATATGAAATTGCATGCTCACGTTTTAAATGGAGGATAACTGTAGTAAAATTATATTATTGGATTAATTATAAGACTGAGAATAAAGTATGTACGAATAGTTAGAATTACGAATGATAAAATACAAATAAATAAAATTAATAAATAAAAAATCTACCATACCAGATATCCTAAGTACTTGGGCCTTGCGTGCTCCATTGTTTTTATCTCTGACGAAAATAACATTCCCATTGTTAAGATCCGCCTCGAGTTGGATGATATTATTAGTATTTATAACGCCATAATTAGAAAACGCAGTTTTATCTTCGACGTATTCTAGAAGTAATCAAAGTTTAGGATCCATATATTATAACAGTTATTCTGAACCGCCGGATAAACACAAGCCGACTGAGTAGTACATTACATATTGCTATTCGCAGGTAGAAATAGTAATTACAATAAATGAGTACCTGACATCTTTCCCCTAACAATAAACAAACAAAAGAATATGGAACAATACTAATCTTATAATAATCTTTTAGCGGCTCTAAGCCGTTGGAAGTCGTTTGAATTTTAAGAAACAGTACTAATTTTACAAATCCATTGAAAGTTATAAACTTAATAATTTTCTAGAATTCTACCATTGAAAATTTCTCTACTCAAATATAACAATGAACGTATGTGTATAACCAGTTGTATTTTTTACGCATTGAATTACGTTTGGTGGCAGCGAAGGATGCAAGAAAAATCCGTTTTACTTATAAAATATATTCAATTACCAATTAAGACTTAAATTTAACTACTAGCTAGGGCAGGGTCTTTAAGTCAGCGGTTGACTCCAGACTGAATATATGTAAAATCCCATTATTCATTCTCACCGATGGAGCAAGGCGTGTGGTGTCCAATTCACTTCCCCAGTCACAACGATGGCTCACAGTCAGCATTCCGTACTTTACGCAATTGTTATACCGAAAACTTAAAATCCGGTTATGCTTACGTAACACCTCCCCCCATAGAACAGCGTCTATTGAAGACCTTGGTCGTAAATTGTGCTGGGAGATGACCTGATCCGTGTCCTTGAGTTTCAGACATGACGTCGAAGCTTTGCTATGGATTTTCATTTTCACTGGACTGTCCCACTTTAAGCTTTTTGTGTCTAAGGTGATATCTTCGATATGCAAGGCCGCCCATGAACAGAAGCGTGTACAGTGGTATCGTTGTATGATAGAGGCTTCTATCGTTGTCCTTGATGAATTGTACTGGTGACTGTTACATTACTTCACGCTGCCAATAGAGATTGGCAGCGTGAAGTTTGTTCAAATGAATTGAATTTAGTTTAAATATTCGACGGGTTGATGTACCGTTCATATTTTCTTCAGGAATGTCTACTATCTATGTACAAGGCTTGAGCTTTTAATTTATCTTTAAGATTTGAGATGATAAAATTCGATGGTTGTATATAACAGTTGTAGGGAATTATAGCTAAAAAGCTTCCTTGTAGCATTTTATAGACGTCTTGACCGCAAGATAAGCGTGTTTTAGTTTGATTTGGAAAACTGATGGTGTAGTGTCGGTCGTCGAGTTTCTCGTAGGCTGGCGTATGTAGAGATGCGATGTCTGGTTTTCAAGCAGAAATTTTTTTGCTGCGTAGTAACAAGAGCTGTTATACAATCAGGCGATGTCGGGCTGTACAATGTACATGTTGTGTATTTCTTCATATAGATATCCTTTACTGGAATTCGGGCATTCACCCTCTATGTACTTGGAATCTTTCAGAGGAATCGGGAGTGAGGGATAAGAACTTCATGATTTTTGCTAGGAGTAATTGATATTTTATACAAATTATATGTTTGGGATGGAATAATTGGAAATTTATACATATATGTACTGAAATCATTTAAATTACTTATATAATATGAACCTAATTGTACTAATACTCTCGGGGTCCTATGTATATCTAATACTCGATTATTACCGTAAATGCTACGTGGCTTATCAATTATACTTCTTATTGAGTTTAAACTGCTGACATCGTGGTGAGCCGTAGTTGTCTTTATAAAAGCTAAAACTTTCTGAAACTTAACACGATACGATCTGTAGCTTACCTACTATGATAAGCGAACAACGTTATCGCTAACTATAAAAATAACCTGTCCTAGATGAATATATTCTTATAATTTAATTCCTGGTTCTCTTCTTCTAAATTTCTATTAAAATTTGTTATTGTTGAGGCTCGAAGGTTCAATAATCCGGCTCGAAGGACCAATGATGGGGTTCGGTAGCTCGTTGGAGCCAATTAAAAGGCGGTGGACTGTATAAATGATGTGTATTGTTCCATATAAGACAGGTACGCGTGTGCGCGTCGAGCGATGTTGCAGCTCACTAATGGCACGGGCGTTGGCCGCGGCGGTGCCACCTCTCTCGCTCGGGCAGTGATTGCTGCGTCCCTTTCTGGATGACGCAACATACTCCCCCGGTTGAAGTTTCTTCAACAGCAGTGACTAGAAGAGGGCAGATGGTATTAAAAGCCCGTCGTAAGACGCCTCTACGTGTGCGGATGTCGGCAACCCTTCCGAAGCCATTTCGTTCGTTCCGTTGTCAGTTGCAGATGTTGGAGCTGTGGGCTGTGAGCATGTCAGCATGATTAAAGATCGCCCAATGAGAAAGTGTGAAGGAGTCAAAGGGGAGAGGTCTGGAGGATCACTGGATAGTGGCGTTAAGAGGTTCGAATTCAGGATTGCCTAGTCAAGCCTAAAATGCGTCTAAGGTGATGTTTGGTGGACTTGACTGCAGACTCCCACAGTCCGCCGAAGTGAGGGGTATATGCAGGAATAAAAGAAAAGTTTATACCTGTATCAATAGAACTCAGTTGCAAATCTTGAGGAAGAAGGCTAGCTAGCTCGTTGAAGGCACCTACAAAAGTAGTAAGGTTGTCAGAAAAGACGTTATGCGGCTTTCCTCTCCGAGCAATAAAACGGTTCATCGCGGATGAGAAAGCTTCTTTCGTGAGGTCAGAAACAAGCTCAAGGTGGACTGCTCTTGTTGCTAAACACACAAACACACAAATAAAACTTTTAATGAGTCTACAACATCTACCTTTACGTTCAGCTATCATGATAGGGCCGGCGTAATCTACCCCTGTATCTAAGAAAGGAAACTCTAGATGAAGGCGCTGCTCTGGTAGGTTATCCATGATCGGTTGAATTGTGTTAGCTTTAATCCTACAACACCTAACGCATTGATGCGTAACCCTTTTTGCTAAGTTTTACATTTGTTTATGATGATGACTGTTTTTTACATTTGTTAATGAAACGAAAGATATAAGAAACGACTCTTTGTAATTTATTAAAATCTGAATACTTAGAATAAAAAATTAATAACATGTTTTCTTGTTTGATTTCTACATGATGACAAACTATAGTTTCAGGTATGTTATCAGATAGTTGATGAGGAAAATTAGGCCAAGAAGATGGACTTTTTTGTAAAAACTGTGGACCTGACCACCACAAAGAAGATGATGACAACTTGTCAGCTCTAGGTCCGCGCGAAGCGAGGTCTGCGGGGTTCTCAAGAGACGGAACGTAACGCCATGAACATGTCCCGACAGAGTCTTTAATTTTGCAAACGCGATGACGAACAAAGGCTAATATGGACTCGTTGATATGTAGAGTCAATGATTGACATACCTTTGTATATAAGCGTGAATCTAATAATGCAGCACAAAGTTCCAGCCGAGGCATCGTGGTTGGTTTGATGGGAGCCACCTTACTTTTAGCAGTAAGAAGATGCACGTGAGCTCTGCCATCTAATGACTCGCTGCGAACATATACACATGCACCATAAGCCTTTTCAGAAGCATCTGAAAACATATGTAAGTCGGGTTGCATATGATCAACAAGCATACATAACTCAGAAGACGAATTACGATGAGCGACTGAACCCGAAACGAGCCAAACAAATTTTGACTCTAGTAAAGTGGGCAAATTTTTACCTAGTGCAATACGATTCGCGCCTATTATGTTCCAAAAGACTTCCGCGCCACAAAGAATGTCAATTGACGACGGAATATTGTAGTCAGGGTCGGCAAGACGAATGTTCGTAGGTATAGGTATAGTACTTACGTCAATATATGTGTTAGGAATTGAAGATGAAATTTTCGAGAGGACTAGACAACTAATTTCAATTGTAAAATCTCCCTTAAAAGATTGAATGGAAATTGAACAAGCTTGCGAACAATCAGATGTTTGTTGATTAATACCAATAACCTTAGAAGGATTTTTATAAGTAGAAATGTGAAGCTTACGAATTAAGTTATCGGAAATGAAATTAACCGTGCTTCCATTATCCAGTAAGACCCTCGCAGTATGGAGGTTGCCCTTGGCGTCCACCACCTTCACGAGAGCTGTGGAAAGGAGAACAACGGATGAATTTGATGAGTTATTAACAGAAAGAGAAATGTTTGGTGTGTTGTGGGAAATTGCACTATTCTCTATATGAAGTAAAGAGTTATGTTTTTCACGACAATACTTGCAATGTCCTAATTTGCACTTAGAGGCAATATAACCTGGACGAAGACAATTAAGACATACTTTGACTTCGTGAGCCTTTTTAATGCGTGACTGTATAGATAAGTTTTTAAAATTTTCACATGCAAAAATAAAATGATTTTGATGACATAGAGGACATGATATATTTTTATTTTCACAATTTATTATGAAACTTTTAGATTTATTCACAATGTTATTCTTAAATTCGCTTTTTGATTTTAATGAATTTGACTCCTCTAGTGTCTCTAGTAAGTCAGCTCTATTACTTAAAAATGAAATAAATGTTGAAAGTGTAGGAGGCTCAGACAGGGTATTTCTGTGCTCTTCCCACTCACGACTCGTTACTTGGTCTAACTTGGATGCCATAATGTGTATAACCAGTGTGTCCCAGTACTGAACAGGTTGATCGAGCGTTGAAAGGGCTCTCAAATTTTTATTTGTTGTGTCGATAATATGACGTAAACACTTACTGGACTCTCTGCTGATTGCGTTCACATTAAAGAGTGCTTGCACATGGTTGTTGACTAGTAATCTTTTATTGTCGTACCTCTCACAGAGTAACCGCCAGGCAGCGTCGTAGTTATCTGATTTAAAATCTAAATTGTCTATAACTAACAATGCACTATCCTTTAATGAAGCTCGAAGATAGTGTAACTTATTTATTTTATCAATGTTATTATTATTATGAATTATGGAAATAAAAGTATCTCTAAATTCCAACCAATCATGATAGATACCGGAAAATTTTGGCAAATCAATCTTAGGTAAACGCACTGGGCTGTGTGTGTGTGTGTTATTAGCACAAGAACCCACCTCGGAGTTGGCATCGGCCTTGAGAAGTTGTCGAGAACTGCTTATCAGCTGGCGCGCAGAGGCCACCAAGTTGTAGAACTGATTTTCGAATTCCTCACGCTCCGTATATTGTTCGTCAGGAACGTCCGCCAACGTTTCCAAGTCATTTTGTAACGTGTCGTATTTTTCGTATAAGCCTTCGAAAATATTAAGTCTATATTCAATTTCAATGATTTGCAATTCACTCAACTTTTCACAAGATTTTGAAAGATTGATATAAGATGCAAACTGAGTAAGCTTAGCCTTAATTGATGCACGCTTCTTGATTAAGCTTTTAAAATCAGACATCTTTTTAAATGTGAGCAAAAAAGCAAAATAAAAAAAAAGCAAAGCTTAGAAAGCCTATTCAGCAATTCACTATCCTGTGAAGCGAAGCTTAGCAGTAAAATGAGCAATGTCAAGCGTAAGGCGTGTCAATCAAAAGTGCTTAGTCATGTTATGTAATTTATGCAATGCAAACACAACGTAAAAATAAGCAAGAAATGATTGCATATACTAATGAAAACGATTAATTCTAATGAAAACAACTAAATAAGCAGGAATGTAATGTAAATGGATTGAAGATATGAAAATGATTGTGGGAATGAAAATGGATGATTATGAGAAAATAAAGGAAAATGGAACAATCTCACGGGTTTTCTTTGTAATCCTCTGATGACTGCTGCGTGTAGAATATTGTACTATATCAATCTTCTGTACACGGTGTCAAACCAATTTCCGATGTTCTTTGTTCTCGTTGTCCGGCTCGAAATACCAATGACGTAAACACCAACGATGGCTCGAAGGATCAATGATGGCTCGAAGGACCAATGATCCGGCTCGAAGGACCAATGTTGGGATCGTTAGCTCGTTGGAGCCAATTAAAAGGCGGTGGACTGTATAAATGATGTGTATTGTTCCATATAAGACAGGTACGCGTGTGCGCGTCGAGCGATGTTGCAGCTCACTAATGGCACGGGCGTTGGCCGCCGCGGTGCCACCTCTCTCGCTCGGGCAGTGATTGCTGCGTCCCTTTCTGGATGACGCAACAGTTATTAATGCTGATAATTAATTATTATGTTATCTACTATTATTATTATTATTAGTTATTCAATTATTTCGCATCTGAATGATCAAGGTTACCGGTTATACTTTTTACTACGGAACCGAGACCGTCAAGCCTCGAGGCCTCGAGACCTCTTGTAGCACGACTAAGCTCAAATGACTACGATTGGTCGAGAACGGTTTGAAGCTTTTCTTTTAAATATTCTATGTGAGTCTGAAATAAAGTGTTATATTATTAACATGAGGAATTTTACTAATGAACTGAATATGAACTCTCTTTACTTTTTCTTGTATATGTTTTAAGAAAGAAGTTAGTTGTCTAGATTTGGCGATTGGCCTTCGATTCTTTCGAGTTTATATGTACCGGGAGATTAACTTTAACTGTATCTTGCGTATAACGTAGTGCTATCTTGTAAAGAGAAGCCAATGAATTTTTAACGAATATTTGTTGCTCGGGTGAGTACTGCTTTTTAGTCTCTCCAGATCCATTATGAGCTTCTGTCAAATCTTTCCTATTCATTAAATTATGTTCATGAATTAAATTATAAGCCTTGTTCATTTAATCTCTATGTTTTATGGTATACTGTTGGAATAAATGAGGTGTCAGGTCTATTTTTAGTGGGTCTTGCAGGTCAAAGTGTCCAGTTATAACATCAATCGGTCTACATTTAGTAAAACTGTGTATTGAACTATTGTAAGCTAAAAGGCCATAATTAATTAAATTAATAAAGGATTCATTCTTTAATTCCATATTAAGTATTCGTAGATATTCTAAGTGTTGAATGAAATCTTTCAATAATTCCATTTTCATATGGAGTGTGAGGTGCTATTTTATTATGTTGAATTTTATATAGTCTTACAAATTCAGCAAATACCTACTTGTTTTGAGAATTCAAGACCGTTGTCTGTTACTAAAATATAAGATATACCGTGGTGAGTACAGAATTTGAGTAATGCTTGAACTATACTTATTGCCGTTCTTTGTTTTAGATAATACAACTGTCGACTGCGCGTATTTCAAAAATGTATCGACGATTATTAAAACTTTTCGCTCTGTATGGTTAATAAGTCCAAATGAACAGATATGAAAGGCTTACATGGTGGAGGGATAATACAGAATTGTTGTAATGCCTATTTTAGTATATCCCAATTTATCCAACATGTCTGATATATTGAGATGGGGTACTTATCGTCAATAGTCTTTTCGTTAACTCTTCGAAAATCTACGACTAAGCACCATTTAGTTTTACCGGAAGCATCACCTTTTTAGGAATTACCCAAATAGGAGAGCTGTACTTGGATTCGGAAGTCTGAATTATATTTTGTTCAAACATTTTTTTTTTTGATCTCTTATCTCTTGTTTGTGAAAATATGGATACCTATAACTTTTGGCATGAACGGCGACTTCTTAAGTCGTTTTAATTTTATGTTTGATTTTATTCGTGAATGTCAAGGGTTCCCTCCCTCATGATAAAATACACCTGAATAACGTGCACATTTTTTTTAAATTAGCTAGAGGTTCTGGTTTCAAATGGTCGGTGCGAGGACGCGATAAAACTTCTTTCGTTCGATTAGAAAGTGATGTTAAATACTAATTTTTTATATTAAATATTTCGTCTGTAACGGGATGATTGATTGAGAAAATTACATCATTATTTGAATAATTTGAAATTTTTACCCAGCCTCGATTGTTCTGTACGTTAGTGAAACAATCAGAATTAAACAATTACTAATAATCTGATTAGGAACAAATACATCCCTATCCTTTTAATTGATTGGCAATTTTGCTAATTTTGATGTCCGGGCTGGTATTATTTCTTCGTAAAGATTTGCATTTCGAGCATCATACATAACATTTGGCATTTCCGTCTTTTTAGTAATTAACTCTTTATTTTAAAAATCAATCTTAGAATACCATTAATCTAACAAATCAAATCCAATAATACCATCGAAATAATTATGAAAATTATGAATGAAAAACGCGATGTCGCCGTTTTCTTTAAATTCTGTATAATTAAGAAGTATGTGAGAGAAGTATTTTTCGACTGCCTGGGGTGATATAAAAGATTGATTAGCTCCCGCGTCTATAAGTAGTTTTAAGGGCTGGTCATCTATTTGTATATATCCTAATTGCCGCTGAATATTAAAATTTATTTCTATTTTCGTTTGTCTGATATTTCGGCCTTGGGAATTTTTTTAACTTTTATTTCATTAACGTATGATTTAGATTACGTTCGACAAGTAATCTGTATGCTCTTAGTAAAGGTCACAGTATTAGTAGTCGTAAAATAAGATTCGTAATCAAATTAATAGTTAGTAATTTCACGAGTTCTAAAATAGTTATTTGGTGGCAGGTTACCGTCTCTACGCCAATTGTGTCCGGTCAAAGGTAAGAGTTTGGATACGAAGTGACTGTCGCCACTCATAGGACGCGTCATATTATTAAAAGTTCAAGTGGGCTATAAAGGTGGCTTATTCGGAGCTCTAAAGAAGTTACTGTGGGTGTTATAATTTGGAGGTGGAGCACGGAACATTTGGTGAGTGTATATAAGACCACGGGGTAGGTGCTTTGGAGACATATTACTTTTGATTTACAAAATAATGAAATATAGTATATTTTTCCGATATAATAATATGTAATAGATTATTTACCAAAAAATATAGTACTAATAAATTGCAATAGGGTACTACAAAACTTTGAGAAAACAATCTCAAATTTGTGATCAATTTCAAATTTGTGATCAATTTTTAAATATATAATTACCAATCAGAGAAAGCACCTATAAATATTAGTGCAGCTTGCTAACATTCATTATAAATATCACTTATATAAACATAGTTATTTTTAAGTAATTTAAAATTTTAAACCTAACGTTTGAATGAAACTGATATTTTCAGGTATACCACGCGACTTTATTTTTGATAAAAACTACATATACTACCGACGCGCGACGACCGAGATGTGAGTGTCTGTATGTTGGTCTTGTTATTTATCACCTACCACCATCGATTTCTTAATTTTCTGGCATACGATTTGCCAACGGTAGCTAACTGTATAGGGTGGTGGTGTGAATAACCATTGATATACCTATCCGTACATGTGGGTTTCCTATAAACAGTATGTCCCAAAGTATTATCAGGAATCCTGATGACAATATATCAAGAAAAGCTAATGAATTATTTGCCTCTAATTCTATAGTAAACTGAATCTTGCTATTGATAGAATTAAAATGGTTCAGAAAAGCAGATGTTTTTTTAATTTAATATTTTGAAGGTGTCATCTATATACCGTTTATATATTAAAGGTCTTACTCGAGGTGAGCAAAGGGCTCGCCCCTCGAAGTCTTCCATGAATATATCAGGGGAAACCGGTGAACCCATTGCAACTCCATCTACTTGTATGTAGAATTCATCCTTCCACATGAGATATTCAGATAATAGGAAATACTTTAACAGCTCTGCATATTAGTTTCATTTAAATGAATAAGAGTCGCGAAAATCTTATTTAAACCAAACGACTGTAAAACGAACAACATTATTAAAAATACACCGAAATGATAAAGACAGACTCACTTAATTGTTTGAAAATATAAACAAAACAATTGCTGGTATTTTAAAAATAAAATATATTTTTAAGAATAAGAAAGAACAATAAGAATAACGCATGAAAGCTGATTAGTCCAATAAACGGATTAACTAGTTACTAGTGAATGGAATTTTCTTCGTAGTCTTATCTATATTTGGAAGAATTAGAAACAATAGAGGGCAATGAGAATTAAGGATGTACCTGGTAATGAAACAAAAGAGAAATGTAATGAAACCCCCAAAGCTACCCGATGGCGAGCTGATTTAGTCAACCCTGTTGCAAATATTGGTCAGTGTACACTCAGTAATTGAGGAAGTAACCACACTTGTTGGTATTGTGATCTTTTAACTGTGATAATAATTTAAATATCGGTAAGCTTAAATTGTTAATAATTTTCAATACTTAAATTTTAAGGGAATATGTTATCCATGTAAACATATCTAAGTTTGAATTCTAACTTGTTTGTTATTGTTTTATCAGGTTGAAGATAAAAGTGATTGTAAATAAGAGAAATACCTGTAATTTTTTTATGTTCGATGCTTTTAGGAAAAAAGGATTTAACTAGGTTAAAGGAACTTGTATTTTCTAATGAAATGTCATTTATATTCATACAAATCAGACCTCGAACTGATTTAATAGTACATATTAAAAACAAACATTCTATTAGTTTAAATTTTTATAATCATATTTACCATTTCCACGTGTGCTCATTTGAATGAAAACGAATTTTATTACTACTGTTTAGTTATTATCCTATACAACATACCTACAAGATACCAAAACTTCAACTATAGTCTTGAATTGAAGTAGTGTGAATTTTATTTCAAAGTTCATATTCAGGAATACATAAGGTTTTAAATAACAAGTGTATGAAATAATTGCTATAACTAACGTATTAAATATAAAATATTCAAGCGTCCTTCAATATCGATTAAAAGTATGTTGTCTAAGAACTAGGCTTACACGTAACGTTGTGTACGTAGAGACAAACGAACTATTTACTTTGTACCTGCGACATGCAATGGAACCGTCATATTTTTTTATATGTACTACTTTTGTCTAGCTTAGAGTCTATTAATAGCAAAAGTTATATATAAATTTGGTAAGCAATGGTTATTTTTTCAGTTGACAATGACTACTGTAATGATAACATCCGAAATGGATGCGGCTCTGGCCTTGTTGGACTTACACAGAAATAATAATGGTAAATTTGTGTTCCCAATAATAGATAAACAGAAATCTAGTTCATTCATTCATTATTACTTATCTACTCTGATAAATTTGTACGTGTTATTGAAATATGTGTTTTCATTATGGATTTTATAAATTTCAGAGAGAGTCAATTCCAACCCTATGGCTAATATGGATGGGCAAATTCATATTGCAACAATTTTCAATAGTTTCGTAAATTCCAAGGTATTAAAATTATCAGTAGTTCCTGTATTTATTTTTTTAAAACTAATAAAGATTTTTTTTATAATAATAAATATCTCATGAATTTCAGACTTCGCATTCACCTAGTAATAGCCCTAACCCTACAACAACCGCTGAGCGAAAATCGTGGAAGGTGTCGCCAGGAAGGAAAAGTCGAAAAACCAGTCCAGTACCAAAGAAGATAACAACATACGATATAGCAACCCAAACGGATATCGTCGTAGATAACGAATCTGAAATAGAAAAAATGAGAAATGTTATTAAAGGTTTATGTGCCAGAATAGAAGAACTAGAAGCGAAACTCAAAACCAAAGAGCAAGAGACTTCTTCAGTTACGGACTCATTAGAACGAATAACAGATTATTCGAGTGATGACTTCAGACCACAGCAGAGGAGACGATCGCATAAGCGAAAAAGAAATTTGACAGTCACCACAGACTTCGTAAGTAAAATTATTAAAGATATAAGTGGTATATTTTTAACATAAAAACTTTCAACTT